GATAGGTCAAGCTAGTAAATTGTTGACAGTTCAGGTTGGCCTGTGTGTCTGTTTGTCAAACATGCAAATGTGTCTAACCATTCAGGAAATCCGGTTTGGCAATTACACTCAGCAGGGTCTTGCCTCTGTGGGACTAGATGCTTAGCTGGGCCCATTCAGAAACAAATGGGCACCATTGTTTCAGTTTGCTGCTGAGAACACAGGTATTTCCTCGCTGGCTGATAGTGTGGGCCTCCAGCAGCTTCTCAATCCAGCTAGGAATGCCATCTTCTTAAAGCAACAGCAACGCTAAACAGCAACCAGGCTGGGAATTCTGCTGCCTTGGGAGAAACAGGTGTCGATTTGATTTTATAACGCAAAGACACATATAAGGGGCGTTTTTCCACCAGGATTTATCTGAAATTTTCCGACACCTTCAATACTATAAAAGCTTTGTGTTTGGTTATGTTTGGTGCAGTTCCTTCTTGTGTCCTTCCTACTCACATATATCTCCTGGTTTCCTTGGCTGGACTGTTTCTTGATAAAGTGCTGCTGGTTTATTTCTCCATTCGGGACTTGTGCCTCTCTTTCCTTGGACCCGAAAAATGCAATGCTCAGAATCAGCGTGGTGTAGTGGTTAAGAGCATGGGACTGGCACTCAGACGATCCGGGTTCGAGTCTCCGCTCAGCCATGAAGCCAACTGGGTGACTTTGGGCCAGTCACAGACTCTCAGCCCAACCTACCTCACAGGGTGGTTGTTGTGGGGATAAGATGGAGGAGGAGAATGACGTAAGCTGCCTTGAGCCCTTTGTAGGAAAAAGGCAGGATATACATTGAAAAAAAAAAAAAATCACAAGCACAAGCAGAAGCACCTAAGCTCAGCTGCTGAGCCACAGTCCCTTCTGTTCAGCCACCTGCGTTCTGCCCAGCTGTGCTCCTTGGGGGGTCCTGCGTGTTGTAAGTCAGGTCATCAAGGAGGGTGGCCTTCTCAGCAGTGGCACCCCGAATCTGAACCTATCTCCCCCAGAATGATTAGCCTGGTGCCCTCTTTATGCTCTTTTTATTTCCCATTATTTTCACTGCTGGGATGCTTTTAATGGTTTTACTGTCTGGTTTATAATAAATAATCTGCTTTTGTGCCTTTTCTGCTGCCCTTGTGGATAAATGGAAGTTTTACAGTGGCATTAGCTTTGGATTGTTGGATTTTATTGTCATATTAATTGTTTTAAACAATACTTTTACTGTACAGTTTTGAACTTTGCAATCTGCTCAGGGGGGCTTATTGGCTAATGCGGCTGGATAAAAATCCAATAAATAGTAAATAGTAAATAAATAAATCAAGCTGGAGGAAGGCAAGTCTGAAATGGGCTTGGAACTGGCAGCTGTCAAGAGCAGAGAGCAAAGATCTGGAACAAAAGCAAGCTCTGGATGGCAAGCAAAGCTTCTTGTTATTACAGCAAGCTAAGCTTTCCATGTTGTTCTGATGTGCCTTCAAGTCATTCCAACTAATGGAGACTGTATGAATGAGCACCCTCCAAATTGTCCGGTCCTTGGCAGCCCCGCTCAGCTCTCGTAACTCAAGGTTGCGGCTTCCTTTGTGGAATTCCTGTTTGGTCTTCCAAATATTTTGTACTTGGTCTTCTTCCTTTGACTTTTCCTAGTATGATCATCTTCTCCAATGAGTCTTGTCTTCTCTTGATGCCCCCCAAATAGGACAGCCTTGGCTTCCTCATCCTTGCTTCTGGGGAAAGTCCTGCCTCGACTTGTTCTCCTCCAACACAGTCTTTCAAACACAACATTTCCTTGCTGTGTGCTTGCTTCACTGTCCAGTTTTCACACCCATACAATTTTGGTATGTAATAAAGAAGATAATGAGAAGAAAGGACTCCCTGGAGAAGAGCCTAATGCTGGGAACAATAGATGGCAAAAGAAGGGGACGGCAGAGGATGAGGCGGCTGGATGGAGTCACTGAAGCAGTGGGTGTGAGCTTGAGTGGACTCCGGGGGATGGTGGAGGACAGGAAGGCCTGGAGGAATGTGGTCCATGGGGTCGCGATGGGTCGGACACGACTTCGCTACTAACAACAACAACAATAAAGAAGATATTTGGACTGCCAGTGAGGAATGGAATAGGATGTTGGAATGTTCTGTACAATGGAATGTTGAATTGGCATCTCCCTGTATGATTTCTGTAGATTTAAATTTGAGGTTGAGAGCATCATCATCATCATCATCATCATCATCATCATTTTTCTACCTTGCTATCAGCCCAAAGACTCTCTGGGCTGTTCACAAACCAAAATTACAATAGAGCACATGATAACATCACAAAAATGCAATTAATAAATACTATAATACAATCATCCACCCTCCACCACCACAACTAAAACAATCTCAGCGGTAGAGTAAAAACTACTAGGGAAATGTGAGGGATCCATTCTGGGAGTGGGGATCCATTGGCAGAAGCTTTTGCTCGGAGACACCAGCCGGCTTCCTCACAGCTGCGGGTTCGACTCCCTGCAGGACGATTGCCAGGAATCGAGTCCCGTGTGACGCCATGCAAGTGGCGCCTGCTTCTCTGCACGGCACTCGTGGCCTTTGCTCGTGCTTGTTTGTGCAACCAGGTGTCCTGCAAGCGTCCGTGGACTTCCCCTCAGCTCTGCTTGCTTTCCAAGACAGGGCCAAGCACTGGAGAAAGCCCCCAAACGGACGAGGGATGCATTCCGTAGAGCAATTCTAGTTAATGCGGCAAACAAGGACCTTTTCTGTATACTGGGCTTGTTAAGCGGGGGCTTGTGAAGCAGTTGTTCTGTGCTGCTCGGTGCTGGTGATATAATGAGCACAAAGCCTGTCCTGCAGTTTGTTATGGCTGGAAGCCATTGCTTGTGGCATTTTTCTTTTTAAAAGATCTGTGAGAACGGCTGATGTTCATCCCCTTCGAAATTCCTCTGATGTGCAGACATACTGCTGGGAGGAGGCAAGGGCTGAAGGGCCATGGATAGGCAGAGGACCCTCAGCTCTCTGTCTCTTTTGCTGGTGAGGTGGTGGCTGTCCTGAATCAGTGTCTGGACTCAGTAATGGGCTGGATGAGGGCCAATAAGCTGACCCCTAATCCAGACAGGACGGATTGCCTTGCGATCCACCTGCCCAGTGGGTGGGCCTTCAACCTGTCCTGGATGGGATTGCAGTCCCCCTGAAGGAGAATGCTTGTTGTTTGGGGGTGCTCCTGGCCCCCGAACTATTGCTTGAGTTGCAAGTGGACTCAGTGGCGAGGGGCCCCTTCTATCAGCTTAGCCTCCCTTACCAACTGTGCCCCTGTCTGGATGGGCACAGCCTGGCCACGCTCCGGCAACATCCCGCCAGGATTGTTGTCGCACCCTCTGTGTGGGGCTGACTTTGAAGAGGGTCTGGAAACTCCTGATTCGGAAGAGAATAGCCTGGCTATTAATGGGGGCTGGCCCATGCTCATCCGCTTTCAGCTGCATTGGCTGGCAGTTGAAGTCCAGGCCTGAATCAAAGTGCTGCTTTTAACATTCAAAGCCCCCGGGGCCTGGAGAGCTGAAGGAATGCCTTGTCCTACTCAGGGAACCCCCCTCAAAAGAAGCAAGGCGGTGACAACCAGGAGAAGGGCCTTTTCAGTGGTGGCACCCTGTCTCTGGAACACACCACTAATCTGCACTCGTCAGCTGGCCCTGAAAGCCCAGTCCCTGTCTACCAGTCCCTGTTAAAATGGCACCCCAAAGAATTTGCTCCCCTGGCTCTGGCTGTGAGAGGATCCTGCCACAGCAAGCGCCAAATCCCACTGTTTGCTCATCATGCAGAAGAAAACAATACTTGAGAGTCTTGCTTAACCTTTGCAGGCCCCAGCCTGTGTCAGGCCCTCCGACTCTGGGAGAGGGGATGTTAAGCTCTCCTGCCCCCCATTTCCCCCTGAAATTCTGAAAGGGGATTGAAAAAAGAAAGACTGACTGACTGACTCTGTTGGTTCCAATGGAGGTTTTCTTCTTTAAGGCCCTTCCCCAGGAGATCCCCCGAAATTGCAGGGAGAAACAGGGTGCCAGGGAGGATTAAGACCCCCCCCCTTCACATTTCTGATCCAAAGTGGACCCATGCAGACACATGAGAGGAAGGGAGACCATCACACACGGCTACAGCTCGTGAGCTTGGCAGAGCCACTGTGGTGAGGTTGTTAGCATGGTGCATTAGGGACCTGGGAGATCCGAGTTCTAGTCTCCGTTCACCTCTCAGCCATGAAGATCACCAGATGGCTTTGGACCAGTCCCTCACCTACCTCACAGGGTTGTTGTTGTGAGGATAAAAAAAGGAATGGAGACCTATGTAAGCTGCCTTGGATTCCTCACAAGAAGCTAAATGGTGGGATGCATGCAATACAGAAACAGGGGGATCCCTGGAACCCCCGCAATGCACAGCCATGAGGCATCAGAGCCACCCTGAGACTCAAGGATAGGCTAGACGTGCACGTGGTAGGCGTACTGGGAGTGGAGCCAGCCAGAGTCGGAGGTCAGACCAGATGGCCTGGGAGGCTTCTGTGGACTCACTCCTTTCTATGTTTCCAAGCCACATGGGTTGACATGCCATGGGAAGCCAGTCCCTGCAGCATTTCAGCCTGAGGACACCAAGTTGCCTGGTCTCTGTGTTTCTATGCTACAGCGCTGCTTTTATACAACTCATGTACATTTATGTGCATTTTCAGGCTGGGTAAATGGTGTTGCCAGAGTTTATCTGAAGTTTGAGAGGGGGAAGAGTTCAATTAATATTTTTTATTCATGCAGTGTATCTTTAATCCAGAATAAAAGCCACACAGAAAACTGCAGTTTATACAAGTTAAATAAATAGTAAGGCGTGCCTGAGGCCACTATAACGGTAAAATTATTCCGGGAGATGGTGCTGTGCAAAATCCTGGGAAATCGGAGCGCCCAGTTGGGGATCCGCGATCCGGGTTTTGCTTTCCTTCCGGAGGGGGCGGGCAGGAGAGGCGTCGCTTCCGCCCCGGAGATCGGGGAGGAGCAGGAAAGCGGCGCGGCGAGACGAGGCGCCTGGACGATTCCCTGGCGAGCCCGGGGCGCGACCGGCCGGCGGGACCCTCGGCCGGGAGGAGGCGGCCCCGTGGGGTGAGCGGGGCGGGCAGGGCGGGGGGGCTGGGGCAGAGCCG